ACGTGTAACTAAGGTGCACTGCAAAATAAATGAAAATTATTATTGAGAAGTTAGACAGAAACACTGAGATAAATACACACATACAAACGTACCAAATACATACACATACTTAAATATTTACTTAGTTACACACATACATGAACCTACAAATATTGTTGAAGATATAAATTGGTTAGTTCATTAAAGTAAGTGTACAAAATGAATAACAGTAAAACCTATCACTCAGAAGTACATACATAAAAGATAATTACGTTGTTTCATAAGTTATGATGAGAATAAATATAGCGGTATTTAGTGTGTCATTTTAATACTAGATGGCGTTACAAAGGTTAATAGTTTCATGTAGTGCTTGTGTGGTGTTGATACCTACTCTGCCGTGCCAATCCAAAACACTGTAACTTCTGAAAACGACATTTGAACTTTAAAGCTTTGTTACATTTTTTTACCATGTTAAAACCCTAATTTAAATCCAATACAGTATTTTTAGATTATTGTCTCTTTTAAAATACACTTTAGAATAACAAAAGTGTCGATCAGGGGTACTAAGCCGACGTAAAGAAAAAACATAATAGATTTTCAAATTATAAGGAAATGATTTATTTATTTTTCCAAATATGACAATCTTTTTGATATCACCACGGATGAGCCACTGCCATTCCATCGCCACTGTAAAAACACTGAGTTAGTGTAGACTACCGATATTTGTACCGATGCCAATGGCCACTCGATGGCATCTCAATAGCGTGTCAGTGGTATGACAGTGGCTTGGCGTGAACATATAATAGCAGAATTGAGGCCCTGACTGAGCGTTGTTAAGGCAAAATACAGTCGAGTTACAGTCTTTTGGATTGGTACGGCAGTACTGAGGAATGATTTGAATTTGCCAGAATTTAATATTGGTTGTATATACTGTAAGCTTATATTTTATGAATAAATGAATATGTTGGTACAACTGCTGAGGGTACTAAAGGTGTCTCTCAAAATAATTCTTGAAACGCTCACCAAACACAAGCTTTTTAAGCCCAGGGCTACGCTTGCATCTGTATCAATTACGGTATTTAATTTTATAGGGATAAAAATTAGCCTATGTTTATTTAGCCAGATTATAATCTATCTCTATTCCATAATTCAGCTAGATTTGTTCAGCCGTTTTGACCTGATTTAGTAACAAATATACATACATACTTTTGCATTATTACTAATTTAGTAAGATGCTTAACTACTAACTTCTTAGTTTTAAGCTATTACTATGTTAAAAACTAATTCCTTAAGACGGCTTATTACTGTACAATAGTTTATTTATGTAGGTTATATAAGTCTGATTAAAAAAAACTTATCTTATTAGTTATTATAATAATTATATTATTGCAGGTTATTTTTTATTCACTGATTTGAATTAATAGACTACATTTTGTATTTTACGATGATGAAATCTAAATTATAAGTAACCATCGTGAAGTTTGGACAAATCCACGTATTGACCACTTCATTAAATAAACCTATCAAGCCATTTGAAACTTTACATTGTATTTATAAGATACATAATCTACTTGCTTGTGGAAAAAAACACTGTAGTAATGTTTTTAAGAGTAAACAAAGTAAATACTTCCATATAATGGTCAAAGTGTGCCAATTGTAACAGACGCCGACCATAAATACAGATGTGCATAATCTCCTTGCCCCCTCTTTCGTTCCCCCCTCCACCCTCTCTACCCCTCTCGCCCCTTTCACCTGCCCTCGGCTCTTCGCAGCCTACTTCCGCGACACACATTCCCAAATCAACCGGATTGGGACCTAGATTATTTGGACACAGTTATTTCAAACTTGACTTTTACACGTTGTTTTAAGACGTAGTTTTGCATACCAGAGCATTTTTAAAGGAAAGTATGACTTGTTGTTTTAATTTTAAGGTCGATTAAAGCGTTGAAGACGTATGATCAATGAATTCAAAACGGTACGCGGCGTTTCTGCGCGTGAGTTCAAATTTGTATGATTTTTAAAAGGCTTCTTAAGAATTTTTGTATTGAAATTTAAACTTTATCCTTGGCTTTCTAAAGTAAATTTTAGATTAAATAGTTTTGTAGGTTTCAGGCTGTACTTACCGTGCGACTTTTTGACTGCCAATATAAATGTTTGAGTTCGCTCGTTTGACACACTTAGAACGACTTTTACTATCTATTGAAGAATTACTTAAATAATATAATTGATTGGTCATAATTATAATTCAAATAAAGATTAAACTTGTACCTACTTATAGTGGTGGTATGGTATGGTGGTATAGTGGTGGTGGGTTATAGAGGTGTTAAATATATAGATGTTTCTAAGTAGACTGCCTCGGTGGTGCAGTGGTAACGTATGCGACTGCTGTGCTGAGGTCTCGGGTTCGATTCCCGGGTCAGACCAAATGTTTGTACGATCTGCAAATATTTGTAGCGGAGTTTGGGTGTTTTTTATGTATTTTTAAAAAGTATAGTATAAGTATTCTATCAGTCAATCTAGCTTTCATAGTACAAGCTCTGCTTAGTTTGAAACTAGATGGCGTTATGTGTCAGATGTGAGAAATATTATTATTATTACTATTATTATTAAGTGGCTGTAGGTAGCCAAACATTTGTGTTTTACTAAGAATTTTAAAACTAAACGTTTGTGACTCCTGAGTTGCAGACGTTCATGGGCGGCGATGGTCACTTTCCATCGGGTGACTCGTCAGTTCTATCATAAAAAAACGACCTAAAAATTCTTAGTAAACGACAAGTTTAGCTACCCACAGCAGGATTAAGAATTCCGAGTGTCACCACTCCTATTCACCCCGTGGTATCGTAAGAGGCAACTAAGGGAGCAAACCACGCAGGACAACAGCACTGTAAAGAGAAGGAAAACTTGAAACAAACCCTATATCAACCCGTCTGGCCAGCAAGGTATAGAAGGCCAAGACCTCCTTTGTAAGGAGAGGCTTTTATCCAGCAATGGAATATTAGAGGATGTTGATGACAATGATGAATTATTTAAGATAAATGAAAGTATAGTCAGGAATAAATCCGGCTTATAGAAGCTGCGAAAGGTGCACGTGAGCCTGCCGAACTAGTACATCTAAATAGGGTTTACTGCGTACGCGCATTCTTTTTATGGAATGGTTACCTGATGGAAAACGACTACCGCCGCCATTGAACGCCTGCCACTCAGGAGTCACAAGCTCGTTGCCGGCCAATGAGAAAGGAGTAGGTACGCTTTTTCTTGAAGGTTTGAAGGTCTATTCTGATCTAGTTTAATAAATACATCGATACCCGCGGGTAACTTTAGCTGTACAATGTTTTTTTTTCATGGCATAGAAAGGCTAACTTGTAGACGGGAAGTAACCACTGCCACCTATTGACGCCTGAAGCTCAAGAGACTCAAGTGCTTTGCCCCTTTTTGGGGGGTTGGTTATCACTTACTTGGTGAAAAATGTTTGACATCGGTTTCCTGTGAGGCTGAATTCATAGGAATTACTCAATAATTATCAACAACTAGCTGGTGACCTCGACTTCGCGTGAAATGACAAAAGCGCTGCCTTAGTAGGTTCGATTCGCGGACCGGGCAAAATTTTATAGGGGTTTTCTAAGAGAAGAATTAGCCTAAAGTTACTCCTTATATAGACAGCTGCCTGGTGATAAAATATTATCAAAATCGGTAAAGCCCTTTTGAAGATTATAAGTAACAAACGGACAGACAGACAGACAAAAAATATTTAAACTGTTTTTTTGGCAAATAACCGTGTGAGCGTGAAAAAGACATATTATTTTGACATTAAAAAAAAGACATTCAATTTGATTTCTTTGTATAGATCTTTTGCACATAAAGAGTGTATAAAAAAACATCATTTTGTGTATAATTATTTATTGATTCCCAAAAGACACCACCACCACAATAATATGAGTAACACACAGTGTTACAATACTCTGTAACTCTTTAACAATAATGAAAAAAATAACTATACGATAACAATATAATCCTTTGATACTGAAAATAAATCAACAAAATAAAATTCTAGATTATCTAGTCGAAAAAAATAATTCAATCATAGTTTTTAATCTATGAAAAATTATGGTCAACTCAACTGACAGGTCAAAAAATTATTTTCATTATATTTATGCATGCGGACAGATTACAGTTAGTAAATACATATACGTTTAATAATTAATAAATGTGAATAAATGAGGTTCCCATAAATAAGATGCATAATTTATTCAAAATTATAACTAACTCATTCTGGTATAGTTAAAATACCTCATATTATTTATTTTTCCGTAAATTAGTTTATTTAGACCGGTTTATGAATTTATTATTCTAATAACGGTATCCATTAGTGCAAATTACAACGTGAATATTTATTTTTAAAAAATGCATAAAATAGTGAGGGGCTAAGTATAAAAATATCTACTTTATTTAAGTAAAATAATAAGCAATTCAATATAACGGTTTCAAATCGGACCAGTGTTGCCAATTTATACAATTAACATTTTATTCATCAATACTTCAGTATTGAACAAGAAAATGTATTTTGATGTATTTTATTTTCATAAAACGGAAAAACTTCATCTGATTTTCATAAAATATCCGCACGCTTTATATTAAATCAAAACAATCGACTTATTTTAGTATAAAAATAGATGATTTATCAGGAATACAAATAAATGGTCAGAACATGTATAAAAACATAGATTTTATTGATTGTTAGATTATGTAAATACTTTAATACAACTGTAGGGTCCAGCATTACTTTCTACTTAGTGTTACTTAGAATATCAATAAATACGATATAAAGTGAACACCATTTTCGCAAGTCAACATATAATAAACTCTATCAGTCAATATTCTTAATAACAAAACGCATAACCCGCATTTAAATTGAATACAACGCCATCTATACTTCCATTAATCAACTAATAACGCTTCAGCGGTTATCAAAAATAAATCAACTTTTTTTGGGAACAGGCGGTAATACCGAAGAGACGACAGAGTTACGACAGCAACTTCTGTTCAAGGGCGGCCCACAGCGGGTCCAGGGGAGAGCTGAGGGCATATGAATTGTAAGAGTTGTTCTCGATCACGTCATTTGGTGTGGGCTCACCGAATACGAGGTAGTGTGCAGTAGAAGAGGGGGCGGGGGGGGCGACGGACCCAGCCGCTCGTCTCCGCCCCGACGCGAGGCGCACGCTACGAAGCATGGCTGCGGATTTTATTCGTTCTGAAATGAAAATTGAAAATGTATGGCACATGCATCACATCAGATCACATCAACAGCCTTTAATAGTCCACTGATGGACATAAGCCTCGTCTTAGAAAGGACGTTTTGGCCTACTATACTACGCTGGCCAGACGGGCTGGTATAGAGTTTGTGTCACGTTTTTCTTTTGGTCAGTGCTGTTGTCGACGGATGGCACATTTAATGATAGATTTATTTAATTTCCGATTAGTAAACGTTTTCCATCAGGCACACACTAGTCTTATATTTTTGGCTTAGTAAGTGACCCTGACTGCAAAGCCAGCCAGGTCGTGGGTTCCACCACCCAGGACAAATAATTGTGTGATGAGCACGATCATTTGTTTTGTGTCTGGATGTAATTTATATTTAACTAGCTGACCCGCGCAACTTCGTCTGCGTCTCTCAATAGTAATAAATTTTCGCCGTTTTTGAAACATTCTTCATTGGTGCTCCGCTCCTATTGGTCTTAGCGTGATGATATATAGCCTATAGCCTTCCTCGATAAATGGGCTATCTAACACTGAAAGAATTTTTCAAATCGGACCAGTAGTTCCTGAGATTAGCGCGTTCAAACAAACAATCAAACAAACTCTTCAGCTTTATAATATTAGTATAGATATGTATGTATTTAGAAATATACTTATAAGTATGTTTATCAGCAGTCTGGTTACCATAGTAGTTTGTGATCAGACGGCAGCGTGTGAAATGAATAAAATCTATCAAATCTGAGGTTATTATTATCATTGGTTATTATTAGGTTATTATTAAAATTTATAATGTAGCTGCATCTAGCTGAAAAATAAAATTACCTTCCAAGTACTAAGATAATAACAAAAATCGATAATTTAATCTGTTCAATTAAAATAATACAATACCTCATACTTAACGTGAGCTATCAACATCCTAAATGTGTATACCAGTAACGTTTATACGGCAAGAGTCAGTGTAGCAATTATTATTTTAAGATAACTACTGCATTAGGAATATACCCTGTGTCGCGGGGGACTTTACAAACATACATGAAACGGACACAAAGAACACCCAGACTCAGAACAACAATTTGTTAATCACACAAGGTGTCGTCCCATGTGGGTCTTGAACCCACAACGCTATACACATTATAAATTATATTATTTACACAACGAAAGATTACCAACATAAAAAAAAAAGATTTACGGACTTAAGGTCAAACAAACGTTATGAAAAAAAGCGGCGGCAGCATAGTGGTTAAGGCGTTGGACTTGCAATGAGGAAGTCGTGGGTTCAAATCCTGGCCAATACACTACCGACGTGAACCCATTTCTAACACAAGCAATTTAGCTTAGAGGGAGGGGTTAAAGGGAATACTAGTAATTTCGGTTGATCGTAGACTTTAAAAAAAAAATAGTTATGTTCAACTACAGATAGAATAATAGTATATAAATTGTAGATCATAGGCAGGTATACAGATATCATAGTTTTCATAGTCCGTGTAGTGACGGATTAAGAATACGGAATGTCACTACCCCAATTCATCCCGTGGGTGTCGTAAGAGCCGACTAAGGGCGCAAAACAACGCAGGACACCAGCACTGCAAAGAGAAGGAAAACTTGACACAAACCCTATACCAACCCGTCTGGACATCGTGGTATAGTAGGCCAAAACCTCCTTTCTAAGGAGAGGCCTATGTCCAGCAGTGGACTTTAAAAGGCTGTTGATGATGATAGTTTTTATTATTTAGTCCAAATATGTCCCGTCCCCTAGGCATACAATGATTAAAATTAGGTAAATGCAATAAGTGTATTATTAATGAGAAAAATATATCTTAGTAAGGTGCCTGAAAATCCTTTTACTTTAAAACTATCACACGTAGATTGCTGTTTGCTTTCTAGAAGGCGTTTCAATACCAAATAATAAGGGGGAACTAGTTTCGTGCAAAAATATGGGAATCATTTGGCAAACCTCGCAATAAAAACTGGTAAGTATGTACTGATCGTTACTGCAACCACACAACTAACCAGACCAATAAAGTTAAGTTAAGTTTGTAATACCTATATGTCAATGTGATTTTGTTAATATGTTGTCTAAACTGTGAATGCTGTGTTAGCTCGTAAGTGGCATGTATATCAGAACCTTATTACTGAGATTTTACCATTAATGTTACATATATGTGCTGTGAGTTAACCTAATAAATAAATAAATAAATAATAAACCTCAAATTTTGTTACATATTTTTTCTCCTTACACACTTGTATAGGATGCGTAACACACTTAATTTAATTACGAGAATGAGTTTAAATATGGTATACCTTTTTAAAATCTTGACTATTTATAGTCAAGTTTTTTTTGTTCTATAGTATATATCACTATGCTTTTTAGCAATGATTATTTCCCAAACTGTTATTTAGTAAGAGGTTATCATTTTGTTTCTTACTGTTTATTATTATTGTTACAATGTCCAACTACGCTTCACATTTATAGTTTAATGTTAGAAAACCAAAGTACAGTATAATTGGACTTAAATATTTGCGCACACACCTACAGCTCTTGAGTATTGTATATTGTGAGCAATAACAGGAACTAGAAATTTGCCACATTCTATTTTAAGCGCTATAACGATAATCGGAGGTGCCGAGCGGGCAGTACCGGCGGTGTGGGGGTGCAGGTACTCACCGTCGGAGGTGCTGAGCGGGCAGTACCGGCGGTGTGGGGGTGCAGGTACTCACCGTCGGAGGTGCTGAGCGGGCAGTACCGGCGGTGTGGGGGTGCAGGTACTCACCGTCGGAGGTGCTGAGCGGGCAGTACCGGCGGTGTGGGGGTGCAGGTACTCACCGTCGGAGGTGCTGAGCGGGCAGTACCGGCGGTGTGGGGGTGCAGGTACTCACCGTCGGAGGTGCTGAGCGGGCAGTACCGGCGGTGTGGGGGTGCAGGTACTCACCGTCGGAGGTGCTGAGCGGGCAGTACCGGCGGTGTGGGGGTGCAGGTACTCACCGTCGGAGGTGCTGAGCGGGCAGTACCGGCGGTGTGGGGGTGCAGGTACTCACCGTCGGAGGTGCTGAGCGGGCAGTACCGGCGGTGTGGGGGTGCAGGTACTCACCGTCGGAGGTGCTGAGCGGGCAGTACCGGCGGTGTGGGGGTGCAGGTACTCACCGTCGGAGGTGCTGAGCGGGCAGTACCGGCGGTGTGGGGGTGCAGGTACTCACCGTCGGAGGTGCTGAGCGGGCAGTACCGGCGGTGTGGGGGTGCGGGTACTCACCGTCGGAGGTGCTGAGCGGGCAGTACCGGCGGTGTGGGGGTGCAGGTACTCACCGTCGGAGGTGCTGAGCGGGCAGTACCGGCGGTGTGGGGGTGCAGGTACTCACCGTCGGAGGTGCTGAGCGGGCAGTACCGGCGGTGTGGGGGTGCAGGTACTCACCGTCGGAGGTGCTGAGCGGGCAGTACCGGCGGTGTGGGGGTGCAGGTACTCACCGTCGGAGGTGCTGAGCGGGCAGTACCGGCGGTGTGGGGGTGCAGGTACTCACCGTCGGAGGTGCTGAGCGGGCAGTACCGGCGGTGTGGGGGTGCGGGTACTCACCGTCGGAGGTGCTGAGCGGGCAGTACCGGCGGTGTGGGGGTGCAGGTACTCACCGTCGGAGGTGCTGAGCGGGCAGTACCGGCGGTGTGGGGGTGCAGGTACTCACCGTCGGAGGTGCTGAGCGGGCAGTACCGGCGGTGTGGGGGTGCAGGTACTCACCGTCGGAGGTGCTGAGCGGGCAGTACTTGATGGTGTGCGCGGTGTCCCCGCTGGCCCCGCAGCGCGCGCAGACGAAGGCCCTGAGCACGGGGCACGTCACGCGCCCGGCGCCGTCCTTCAGCGAGTGCGAGCGGTAGTAGCACTCGCGTTCTCCATTGTTCTTGCAAAAACGACATTCCTACACAAAGTAACAGAAAATGTTACCACGTCACGAATGAACTTTAGTTATGGAGCGTATGATTGAGCTTACTTCTCTTCGTTGAGAGTCTACGGTAATGGTCCATAATTTGGTACCGTCATATTTGGTATAACACTTTTGTATAGTAAAGGAGGTGAGGGAGTAACGGGTCATTCTTTGAGGTGCCCCCTCCTATAATTGGCGAAGGTTAGCTCTCACTTTAAAGTGGCCTCTAGTACCATCACTCACCGGTTTTCTGTGACGCCTAATTATCACTCTAGTCGAGTCAGCCCACATGCACTAAATCAGAGCTTTCCCACACTAAAAGTGATGGACAGTTACGGAACGGTGGACGTGACATTTAACAGATAAATGACAGCTTACACTAGAGAGCCTCTTGACCCGCTTGTGGGGGTCCCGGCTCTGCTCCAACTCCTGCAGCAGCGCGAACAGCGCAGAGTTGGGCAGAGTGCTCAGCACGCGCAGCTGCTCGTCCGACAGCGGGGGGGGAGGAGTGGACGACTCTGCACAGATGACATAATACTGACAAACAACATCTAAAGAAGAGTGAGTCATATGAATAGTAAATTTTGATAAATATACTTTTAAGGGAAAATAAAGTGCACGAAAACACTACATTACAAAATATATTTTGCAGCAAAACACATTTAGACTAAAAAATTTATTAATACAAAACAAGTATGCCTGCGGTATTTAAGAAAGAAAGAAAGAAACATTTATTTGCACAGAATACAGGTGGTACCAGATTTTACAAAGGTGTATAATGTTCAAGCTATATTCTGCCTGTACTAGGCATGCAAATATTTATATAGAGACTCAAAACATTAACTAATGATAACTATTAACTAATAAAATTAACAAAATGTCAAAAAAAAAATTATTACATAGAAGTTATTAAATTTATTGAATTATTATATCTAATTTATTAAATCTACAAATGATCATATACATCAGTTTTATATTGCATGAACTCTTTCATTGTATAAAAGCACTTATCAACTAGCCATTTTCTTAACTTAATTTTAAAATATTTAAATGGAAGTTCCCTAAGGCTCTTAGGAAGTTTATTGAAAACTAAAATGCACATGTGATACACATTCTTTTTCATCAAAGATGTTCTAAAAAATGGAATCATTATTTTCGTAGGATCTCTTGGTCTGTATTTAGTAACATGATCCCTCTTGAATTTAAAGAAATTATTATATTTCCTAACAAAGATTGATACTTCAAGAACATACATGCAGGTCAATGTCAGCAAATTATGTTTTTTAAATAACGGTTTACAAGAGTCAAGTGGACTCACTCCACAAACAGCTCTTAAACATTTCTTTTGGGCAATAAAGGCTTGATCAACATCAGTCGAATTCCCCCATATTATTAACCCATATCTAAGGATAATAAGCTACAAGTGCAGTCTTTTCATCAGACACGGTACGAAGCTTTCTAAGGGCGTAGACAAATCTACTTAGTTTGAGGCAAACATCATTTATGTGTTGTCTCCAGTTACAAAATCTATCCAGAGTTATACCTAAAAATTTTATACTGTCCGCTTCTTCTATAGTATTATTTTCTATCTTTATGTTCACGAGTATGTTATTTTTTGAGTGTTTACTTCTATTCGTACCAAATTTTATAAGTTTTGTTTTTGATAGATTTACATTTAATTTGTTTGCTTTTAACCATTCTAATACCAATTGTACTTCTTTACTTATTTTAGTTTCATGAGATGTATCTTTATTCTTATATGGCACTATTATAGATATATCGTCTGCGAAAAGAACACTTTGACAATTAATTGAATCTGGTAGGTCGTTGATGTATAATAAGAACAGTAACGGTCCCAAAACGCTACCTTGTGGAACGCCATATCTATTGACCTTGTATGGGGATCTGTGTACACTGCATTCGTTACTATCATTTAAACTGGTGATTTCAATACATTGCTCACGATTGGTTAGAAAACTTTTAATCCAGTCTAAAGCTACATCCATCCTCTTATACCAAAATTTTCAAAAGTCAAATTAGGTTAGTAATAGAGACGGTATCGTACAACGGGTGATCATAATAAACAAATAAAACAGACAATCCTCAGTTTGTTTGTAAACATTCTTTGTTTGGCCCTTTTTTTTTTCGCGCGGAAATCCCCTCGGATACCACCTATCGGTGGCATGTCGGACTCGAACCGACTAAAACCGCACGCCGTCTCGGGTACTAATAGCCGGGGAACCAGTTATACCCTAGAAAGGAAGTTCCTGGTGCCCCGACATACCTCGGGCCATCTACAACGATTAGACGACCCCCCCCCCCGCCCGTGTGGGAACCCCATGTTCCCTCTGCTCCCTGGAAGCGCCGCCACCCCGCCACTTCACGCCACTTCTGCTAGGGTGACAGATGGCCTCACCTGTCATCCCTAGGCCTGCGCTTATGGAGGACGGAGGTCGTTCTGCGACCTCCGGCGCCTGAGTCACCTGCGGTACCTGGCCCGTTCCCGGGCCTGGCGGGCCGGGAGAGTGCTAAACGTCTCCCGGTCCCGCTCCGCCGTCTCCTTCGCGAGCATAACTTGCTCGCAGAAGGAGACGGCAGAGTTCCACGCACTCTCGCTCCGCACGATAGCCGCAATCAGGCTATCGAGCGAGAGAACTCCCACTCCGATGGCCGCCACGAGGTCTCGCCTCTGCTCAACCCACGCCGGGCACTCTGCCAGCGTGTGGAGAGCCGTGTCCACGGTCTGGCCATCGCAGTGGTGGCACTCAGGCGTTGGCTCCTCTTTGCTTGGCCCATATTTATAATACCCTTTTGTTTTTTATGTTAGAGGGGGTAGACGAGCAGACGGGTCACCTGATGCAAAGTAAGCATCGCCGGCCATGAACGTCTGCAACTCAGGAGTCATAAACGCATTGCCGACCTTTTAGGAAGGAGTACGGTCTCTTCTTGAAGATTTGAAGATCGTATCGGTCCATTGTACCATGGTCCTACCATCTTTATTACTATTGTTTCCCTGAGTTATTTCAAGTTAATTTTAAATTCGAAACTTGTAAAAGCTTTTTCTTTGAATATAGATTTGTTTTCAATCATCCAAATTTACGTCACTACTTATTGTATTATATTATTTGTGTATAAGTAAGTTGAAAAGTTACCTTCGACAGGCGTGGAGGTAGAAGTAAATTCAGTGGGGGTGAAGTCGAGCGGGCCGCTGACGTCACGGCGCGGGAGGCGCGGCGCGGGGCTGCTGTCGGGCGCCGGCCACGACTTCTGCCTCAAGTACGCGCCTGAACCACCTCCGCCGACCCCGCACACACTTGCTAATAGTCATAATACATATTAAGCTAAGAAGAATTAAAATCAATCCTGCCTGACATGTCCTTTTACAAGGAACTGTCAGTAACTCGACTAAACGGATGGCGTACTGATGCGGTCACCTCGAGTGTTATAGGTTCGATCCCAACATGGAACAATATTTTGTGTCGTCCACAAATTGTTGTTCTGAGTCTGGGTTATCTCTATGGCTGTTTTATGAATGTTTGTAAAGTCGCGACACTGGATATATTAGCAGTGCGAGTATATCTTTAAACTAGCTGACCCGCGCAACTTCTTCTGCGTCTCTCAATAGTAATAAATTTTCTCCGTTTTTGAAACATTCTTCATTGGTGCTCCGCTCCTATTGGTTTTAGCGTGATGATATATAGCCTATAGCCTTCCTCGATAAATGGGCTATCTAACACTGAAAGAATTTTTCAAATCGGACCAGTAGTTCCTGAGATTAGCGCGTTCAAACAAACAAACAAACAAACCAACAAACTCTTCAGCTTTATAATATTAGTATAGATAAATATAAAACCGAAACCTATTTTGAGATATTTCACTTTGACTTACCTTTCTAAAATAATTCTTGATGGTTTATCTATTTTTACGGTATATCTATATTACAGTTCACAAACAGAAGACAGAATTCGGTTTTCCCTCGTCTTACATAAAAAAAAATCTTACTTACTTGCCGGATTCCCCCAGATTCTATCCTCGTCAGGCGTATAGGGGGAGTCTGAGCCATTCATCTGGAACTCCTTCATAATATCTTCTAAAGTGCATCTGCCCATTACCACTACAGAAACAAATAATAAGCTACTGATTTGTTAAATCAATGCGTGTCCGGCTCTGCCTAGTAGTGCCTAGTTTGGGATCAGACTGCCGTGTGTGAGATCAGTAAAATTATTAATATTAATGATGTTTTTTTATAGTTTATGTCTTTTACCCGTGTGGTGACGGATTAAGAATACAAAGTGTCACCACCCCTATTCATGCCGTGGGTGTCGTAAGAGCCGACTAAGGAAAAAAACTACGTAGAACACCAGCACTGCAGAGAGAAGAAAAACTTGACACAAACCCTATACAAACCCGTCTGGCCAGCGTGGCATAGTAGGCCAAAACCTCCTTTCTAAGGAGAGGCGGACATAAGCTGTGGACTGTTAAAGGCTGTTGATGACCCTGAGGGTTAAATTAGGTTACATTAGATTTCTCATACTCGTATTTATGCAAATATTTAAATTACTGTGTAGACATGTAGGTTACTTACAATCTTGGAAGCTTGCAGATGACTGCTCTTTGGATCTAAAGTGTCCAGGGTTGGTTTGTTGGGGCCAAGTATCTGAAGTTGACCATGTAGATGACTGTAAGATCAAAAAATTTAAAAAATACTGAAAAAAAACTGAACGTTGATTACAAATTGACTTGAGAATGTTCTTCATAAAAAAAAACACAAATCTATACAAATAAATAAAATTAGAGTGTCTGTTTGTAATATTAAAATAACCGCTTTTTACTAAATGCATATGTATGTTTACACGGTACATATGCCAAAATAACATTTTTACAGTATTTGCCTGTCTGTCTGTTTGTTCCGGGTAATCTCTGGAACGGCTGGACCGATTTCGACGGGACTTTCACTGGCAGATAGCTGATGACATAAGGAGTAACTTAGGCTACTTTTTTTAGACTATCTTCGCTCCGCGGCGTTGCCCGCGGTTATAACAACAAACGCGGGTAACACCGCGGGTCTCAGCTAGTTGTAAATATGAAACAACGCTTTGAAACCAGCATCAAGCCAAGGTTTGGCTACAGCATCAGATCAAGGTTACGTTATCATGGAAATACAATTTAAGTGACAGTACACCCCAAATCAATGGGAGTAGTGTAATTTCAAATAATAATAATTTCAGTTCGCTGTAATAAAATAAATTGTAATAAGCTGTTTTCTTTATCCCTTATTTTTCTCACCCTTACATGTGTTACCCCTCTTTAAATTGAAACAGCAGCAACATTCAGTAGGACCAAAATTTATTTAAAAAAAACAATTGATACAAATTCAGCCTTTTAAGAATTTTAATTTTATAATATTGACTGCACGGATGGCGTAGTGGTTTATGTGGTCGCCACGCCGCTTACTACTACGCCGAGTGTTGTGGGTCCGATCGCCACATAAGACGACACTTCGTGTGATACACCAATTGTTGTTCTGAGTCTGGGTGTTCTTTGTGTCCGTTTCATGTATGTTTGTAAAGTCCACCGCGACACAGGAATTATTAATAGTGCGCGAGATGTATTAAAAAAAAAAGAAAAAAAAACGGATTGTCACTACCCCCCCCCCCCCCCCCATTCATCCCGTGGGTGTCGTAAGAGCCAACTAAGGGAGCAAACTATGCAGGACAACAAAACTGCAAAGAGAAGGAAAACTTGACACAAACCCTATACCAACCCGTCTGGCCAGCGTGGTATAGTAGGCCAAAACCTCCTTTCTAAGGAGAGGCCTATATCCAGCAGTGGACTGTTAAAGGCTGTTGATGATTGATGATTTTAAAGTAGATGAAATACAATAAATGTTTGCTCCTATTGGAGCCGCCGAATTACCTTCATTGTCTCAAGAATAAGTAGGTGTATGGTAAGTAGGTTAAAACATTGCAAAGTTAAGCAATCCATGCCAGGTCAGTCTATAGATGGGTGACCATTTTTTTTTATATTAGAGGGGCAGACGACCAGAAGGGTCACCTGAAGGAAAGTGACCATCGCCGCCCATGAACATCTTTACTGTGACAATCGTTACGGGTATTTGCAGCGCTAAAAATTCGGACAACAGTCTTACTACAGAAGTTCGATATCGCCTAGTACTTGGGTTGTGGAGTTCTGATGGTAGTCGTTCAGCCGTGTAGTAGACTTAAAACCGACCCTAACCTAGTTTGAGAAAAAAGGCTCGGAGGTAGAGGAAGAAGTTTCTGAAAGGCCTCCAGGCAGCATTACGAATAGGGTGTATCTTAGCATGAATAATAATAATATAATATTGTACCACATTCACACAACGCCATCTAGTCCCAAACTAAGCAGAGTTGTACTATGGGTACTAGACAACTAATATAAATACATATATACCTACTTTTTTTTGTAAATACATACATATTATATACATAGAAACACCCAGACCAAACCAAACATTAAATGTTCATGCACACAAATGTTTGAATTGAGCGGGAATCGAACCCGTGACCTTTGGAATAGCAGTCCCTTACACAAACCACTACTCCATCCGGTCGTCATCCCCCCCCCCCCCCCCGTCATCGGAATAAAGGCATTTAAACAGCCAGCTTCTAGATTCTAAGTAAAAATGCATTTCACTTCTTAGCTCCTATTTCCATCATGAGATTATTCATAAGCCCAATCTGATAAACTAATTTTAATGACAAGGTATGGTAGGAGAGAGAGAGGGCCACGTCCGAGTTTATTATTCAATGTGAAATAAACCTGCACTCAGTTCCACTATTCTACGGGCCTGTTGGTCTAGTGGTTAGTGACCCTGACTGCTAAGCCGGAGGTAGTGGGTTCGATTCCCACCCAGGACAAATATTGTGTGATGAGCACGGTCATTTGTTGTGTCTGGGTGTAATTTATCTATAATATATATGTATTTAAAAATATATAAGTATGTTTATCAGCAGTCTGGTTACCATAGTACAGGCTCTGACTAGTTTGGGATCAGACGGCCGTGTGTGAGATGTGTGACGTCATCAGATCAGTTAGGTGAAACCAAATTAGTGTCATCCAAACTGCATATAGGTAGGTACTTATGTACATACAAAGTTACGCTTCGTTGCGATAATTAAAAAAAGTTTAAAATTAAATTCCAAGATTTGTTTACATACTGACTACAAGTAAAACTTGTTTCCTATTTAATAAAAATACGGTAAAATAGATAAAAGAAACATTCAATTTTCATTAGTCCTTACATTACACACGTCATAAATATGTATATATATATAAATACGCAGAGAGAATTATTTGTGCCTGCCAACTTAAAGAAAACATCGCGAACGATGAATGTGAAACTTGAAATATGAAGCTTTATGTATCAAAGAACTGCAGATAACTTAATTAATAAACAACATCATTTGTTTTAAACCAAAAAATATGCGAAAATGGTTAAGAGAATCTATACGCAGATCCATATATTATACAGATCAAGAGAATGATCTGAACGGTAAGTCAACAAAATGGCAGATAATTTTACATTCATCGATGAAATAAAACTTTTTATTTAAAAGTCAACAATGTTAGTTATTTTTTTCGATCACCAGGCGACGCATATTATACACATAAAAGCTAAACTTTAACGTTATTTTATTATGCATTATTTGAATTCAAATGTTTAAAAAAACAGTTCAGTATTGTTTGTAGTACTTACACAATAATATAATATAAGCTGTCATTGGCAATACAGGTTTAAAATAATTATAAACTACGTCATTGCTGGTACAGCTTTAAAAGGTATGTACTTAACTATTAATTGGAATTATATTAACATGACTCGTTTCCTGGGTATTTTAACTTAACTACGGGTTATTGCAGGGTAATCTTAATAGCATCAGCAGCGAAGTTATTTAATTTTGTTGTAAAAATAACGCATAAGTATTTATATCTACCCTCACAAACTGCATCTTGTAGCACTGATTTGCCTAAAAAAACCAACTCGATTCACTATTGACATGTTTATAAATATGATTTAAACTCGCTCATTATCGACAACAAACAATATTGTTTAAAATAATGCACTTAACAACACGTTAAGACTTGTTTATGCAACACTAAAAAACAAAAGCGTTCTATTCATTATTACATATTTCATAGATTTCAATAGTAATACTCACCGAATTAGAAGAAGTAAGACTGCCATAGTCACTGCAATAATTCAAGCCACTCATTGTTCCAAATTTAAATTTTATTTTTTAATTTAGAATTTAGACAAACGTGTTCCCCACGAGACAACTTATACGGGAATGCTCGCCTCTCATTGGCTCAGTTTCACTGCGAACAGCAACCATAGAAATATGACGCTATCTAACTAAAAACACGTGGTATTGTTTTATTTTGCTAAGTCAATGGTTTGAATGTAAAACATTATTACGTAAGCGATATTGTGATGAATTTTATATTAAATGCAGTGTATTATTTTTAACGAGCGGTGCACAAGCTTGTATTTGTAACAAATAGGTGGGTTCCTTGGATCGTGTTTGGATCACCGACCGCCGAAAAGTGGGACGACTAGGTTGAATTTTTGTTATTCCCCGATTTTGCTGGCAGGGACGGCGATTTCAAATTGCGCGAACCGTTATCTAGGGTTTTGTCGCCAGAATGGTGGCAGACGCAGTGCAGGCAGCGACTGCAACCTGCAACTCTGGGCATCGCTGAATACTTACGGTCAACTGAGCAACGTGGAAGGCACGTCCACACGTTATACGTATCGACCCAAAGAACAGTGGATAAACTAGAAATGCGGTGTAGGCGGGGCAGGCGCGCCGAAGTAAAGAGCAAACGTGCATAAATCTCTGAAAAAATTCGTACTTGCGTATTACTTTCGCCGGGCACGCAGCTCCATAAAAAAATTATCGCTATGCCAAGTTGCGCGATAATTGCGTGTCGAAAACGAAGCCAGGCCTGGCCTGGCCCTTAGAATTTGTCCGAAGACAACATATCATATAATCAGTAGGTCCGAAAACTTTTGTTTTTCAGTAATACTTACAAAAAATCACAAAGTATTGTGTAATACAAAATAGAA